CAGAGAAGGGTAGAACTCTGAGAGGATGAGTCACAGATGATTCCTTTTTATTGTTATGGTCTAATTACCACCGTTATTTACTGAGTGCTAATTGTGCCCGATGGCGTTTTTATGCTTCACTCAATCTTTACAAGTACTTTATAGGAGACTTGTTATTATCTTTTTTCACCTATGAAAGGCTTACATTGAGTTGAAAAAATAAACTCAACTAAAATCTTACCAGTTAATAGGAAAGATTTGAACACAAATCTGCCTATTTCCATATACTAAGTTGTGATCTTGGAGTGTAAGTTACAGTTATTTTAAAATGTAATTGACCCTCCATATCAATGGAATATGCATCTCAGAATTCAACCATTATATTTAGAAAACAAATCAGGAGAGCAAAGTACATTGTTCAGTGGTAGAGTACTTGTCTAGCATGTATGAGACACTAGGTTCCATCTCTACCATGGCAAATTGTGTGTGTGTGTGTGTGTGTGTGTGTGTGTGTGTGTGTGTGTGTGTGTGTGTTGAGAGAGACCTACTTTTAGCACAGCTCCCACCCTGATTTTGTTCCAAGGAAAAATTGCATCTATAGTGAACATGTACATATGCCTTTTCATCTCATTCTCTAAACAGTACACTTCAACAACTATTTACATTGTGTTACTATCGTAAGTCAGGACTTAAACCTTTTCAGTTCATGACACCTTTTTAAGCCCCAATTTTTTACTTGACTTAGGGTATGTAGCATAGGATTATAGATCACATGTTTGCTGGTAAAAATAATAAAAATGTTTTAAAATAATACTTGGTTTCATTCTACCATTTATTAAGAAACAAATTTGAATACTAATGAGATGGTTGTGCTTATTTACTTTTATATAAATAATTGAATTTTGCTGATTCTTTGATACTGTAGGAAACTGAATAGCTTTAAAACTTTTCAGAGCTGATCCATAGTTTATAATTGTCTTTAATGACAATTTATAATGTCTTTACAATTGTCAATAGTAAGAATGCTTGTTTCTCATTCAGTGTGTAATAAAAATGGCAGCAGTTTTGTATGGGCTATTTCAGAATTGTTATAATTTTTCTTAATCTCAAACCATAATTAATTTAATGTTTATGAAATTATGAAATATGCTAGCCTAGTCTACAGAACAAGCTCCAGTAACCAGAGCTGCACACAGAGACCCTGTTTCAAAATAAACCAAGAAAATAAGAGTTTCTCTCTCTTCTCTCTTTTTCTCTCTCTCTCAAAAAAAAAAGGAAAACAAAAATAAAAAACAAACAAAAAACCCAGTAACACAAAATTACCAAAACGAAATGCAACACAAGAAAACGAAATCTGTTGTGGCTAGCTAACTACTCCTGCACATGGGGCCTGCCCTGGACTGTGGTTGATATACCACGTGACACTCCATTGAAGAAAACTCATTTTCCCTTTCCCAGCAGGTATCAATGACAAATAGATTCTTGGTGGGAGGTAGGACTTTGTATTCACTTGCCCTTCTTAGTGTGTAGAGCAACATACATAGTTTTGTTGTTGTTGGGTTTTTTGTTTGTTTGGGGTTTTTTGGGGGCGTTGGTTTTTCAAGACAGGGTTTCTCTGTGTAGCTTTGGAGCCTGTCCTGGAACTTGCTCTGTAGAAGGCTGGCCTGGCCTCACAGAGATTCACCTGCCTCTGCTTCCCACCTACTGGGATTAAAGGCATGTGCCAAAACTGTCTGGTGAAACATAGTTGTTTTTGTTGTTGTTGTTTTTAATAATCAAAATTTAAAACATAAGAATTTCTGAAATTCTGCCTCCAGACATTTCAAATGATCAGTTGTAACTCTTACATTTAAATTGTTGAGAAAGTTATTTTCATTTAAACATTTTAAGATATTTACTGTGAATGCTTCTACATCATCTTTTTAAACCCTGGTCTTTCATTTGTTACCTGTTTAGTAAACATTTCAAGGAAGGGTTTAAAAATGAGCTATTATTTCGGGCGTAGCTTTTATTGAAGTGAATGATTTTTCTGATGTCACAAAACATACCATCTCACTGGTACTCTGATGGAGGCTGTGAGGGCCTCCCTATGAAGCACTGAGTAAAAGTGATAAGTTTGCCACCAGTTTTTTTTCTTTTTTGCTGCAAATTCAGCTTCTCACTCTGTGTTGCTCCAGCACCATATATTTTGCTGTAAAAAGCTCAATTTGTGTAAAGTTCAGCTCCCCAGTTATATCCTCCCACCTCCTGCAAAAGCGATTTTACTGCATAATCTGTTCTTGATGCAAAGAGTGCTGCGCTGTGATCATTATTTTACCTCTTCTGTTCAAATTTAGTCACTTATCCATAACAGAGAATATTCTTGGCCTGAAGTGAAAGAGTTACTAGTAAAGTCTAAAGTAAATACCAGCCTTAATGAATAACATAATATTTTATCTTTAATATTTAAGATTGATGATTATGGGGCAGCCAAGATGCCTCAACACTTGTCACTCAATGATACAAGCTTAATGACCCAATTTTGATTCTTATAACCTGCATAGAAGTGGAAGGAGAGAATCAACTCTACAGCTTTCCTCTGACTTCCACACACATACCATGGTGCATACCCATCCCCACACATGCTCACACACAAATCATGCATACTCACAAAATGATAAATAAAACTTATAAAATTATATTCACATGCATACAGCTCTAGCTTTAAGAAGTAATGTTTGTGATAAGCAGGTTGTATTTATATATTTAGTAAGATAGATAAATAGATACATACATGTATCAACAGTTAAAGAAATGGAGGTCATGAATTTGAGATAGAATAGGAAGTGCATGGGAAGAGTTGGAGCGAGTAAAGGAAAGGGGGAAACAGTATATTATATTTTAATTTCAAAAATAGCATTTAAAAATGATGGTAATACTCAATGTATCAGCAGTGATAAAGAAATAGTAAAGGACTTTTGTCTTTGCTTGCAGCTACACACTTGTGGTTCTATGAAACGAGATAGCAGCAACTTTTGAGATCAGACATTCTAACAATACAACCTAGAAATACACTGATTTCCTACCTACATGATGCTTAGAGGAATGGTGGTAGGAAAATGCTGAAAGTCTTTCCTTAATTAAACCGTTGTGATTCTGTAAGAGCAGGAAACCTTGTATATACAGAAAAAAATCATAATGTACAATAGTCTTGGCTCTGAGCAGAGATGATAGAGTTAGCATTTGCTGGCATTGCATGGCTTGATGGAATGTCTGTGCAAAGTGGATTTATGTGTTCACAATCAAAGCTCAAATGAACTTGTACAATGCACTCTGGATGGTCACTATTAGAAACTAACTACTGGTTCATGTCTTGTTTGATTTTGAATTGAATTTTGTTCATTACATGTTCAGAAAGCTTTTATTGTTTCCAGATGTTTTGAAGACTCCCATATTCAACTACATACCCTATCTGATTGTGATTCACAGTTCAAAAGTCCATATAAATATAAGTAACCCAGTAGGTCACATGCAAGTATTACACTATCTTAAACATTTGGAGATTTGGGGTCATGGAACCAGTTCTTATTGTACTGGAGTACCACTGTATATGTATACATATACATAAACATATGTATCCAGAAATAGTCTAGTTTTTAACCCATACTACATTAGTTTTAGTCTGTTTTGGAACACCTCTTTTAGAAAAATGATGAGGTATAGTGGGAAACACAGCAATCAGCCTAAAGCTCTAATTCTAATCCTGTTTGTGTATGAAGTTGAGAACCAGGAACATTTATTTAACATTTTTCAAAATTACATTTATTTAGTGTGTGCATGTATGCTGCAGTGTGTTTGTGGAGGCCAGAGGACAACTTGGGGGAGTTGGTTCTTTCTTCCCACGATGTGGGTCTTAGGGGTTAGACTTAGGCTAACAGGCTTTTGCAGCAAGTGCCTCTAGTCCTTTTGCTGGGCCTTCAGATACATATCTTATATAGCTCTTTTAAAACAAGATCAAAACACAAAAAAATATTTTATTATTTAGATGCTGGGGATAAATCCCAGGGCCTTATCTATGCAGGCAAGCACTTTACTAACTGGACCATATTCCTAGAATGTGTAATTTTAAGTGTAGTTGCAATATCACAAAGTTATCCCTATCTAATTCCAGAACATTCTTGTCATTCCTCAAAGACATACTACTCCTTATTCCTGCTAGCAGGCACTCTACATTTTCCTTTCCTAGCTACTGCCAGCTACTAATCTCCTTTCTGTCTCTTTGTTTTTTTCCTATTCTAGACAGTTCATATAAGTGGAGTCATATAATACATAATACTTGGTGGTGGGGTTGTCTGGCTTCTTTCACTTAACATACATTTAAGGTTCACTCAAATTGTATCTTGTAAATTGATACCTACTCTCCTGAGTGGCTGATAGTCCATTTTGTATATATGTTTGTATATACAGCACACTACTGTTTGTTTACCCATTTATTACTTGATAGACATTTGGCTGTTAGGTGGATATTTTTATATATGTATACAAGGTTTTATGTGGGTGCCTTATGTTCACTTCTCTTAGATATATATACCTAGGATGGGTGTTGCTAATCATATGGTAAATTCTGTGTTTCACTGTTTCCAAATTCCTAATAGTTGTACTGTTTTATGTTTGCACTCTTAGTGATTGTACATTCTTTTTATCTTTGAGAATAGGTACATAACAGTTTTGCAAGGAGGAAAGTATGAGGTAGAATGTACAGGTTCTGTGCCAAAATGTTTTCTCCTATCTAGTTCTACACATCATGTGTAATATTTCCCCTAGAAATTCTGGAGAAGCAAATTAGTATAATTAAGAAAAATTTAGAATTCAATAAAACAAAAATGATTCAAAATTGAGAGTACTTGCCACTTCTTTCTACACAAGTTTAGTAGATGAATATACTTTATTTTATTTTTAAATTTTTAAAAAATTCTCCTATGTATAGGTGTTTTGTTTGCATGTCTATCTTTAACATGATTGGACCTGCTCTTTACTTACAGAGAAGCTGGCAGAGGCTCAGCGCAGGTTTGCTACACTTCAGAATGAGCTTCAGTCATCACTGGATGCGCAGAAAGAGAGCATTGGTGTCACTACATTGCGACAGCGCAGAAAGCCAGTCTTCCACCTGTCCCACGAGGAGCGTGTCCAACATAGGAATATTAAAGACCTTAAGCTGGCCTTCAGCGAGTTCTACCTCAGCCTCATTCTGCTGCAGAACTATCAGGTGCTTAGTCTTACTCTGGGGAGTGGCATTTTAAAGTCAACTCCAGTAAGTGGAATTACCATGATCTACACTGAGTCCTCAAAAGGGGACATCATGGTTAGCACATTGTAGAATGATAGAACATCTAAAATGTAAAAGCTGAGGGCTGGAGAAATGGCTCAGTGGTTAAGAGCACTGACTGCTCTTCCAGAGGACCTGAGTTTAGTTCCCGGAAACTACATGGTGGCTCACAACCACCTGTCATGCCATCTGGTGCCATCTTCTGGCCAGCAGGGACACATGCAGGCAGAACACTGTATACGTAACAAATAAACAGTAAAATATAATTAAATAAAAAAGTAAAAGTTGTGCAAGGAAAGTTTTGCCTGTAGTAGCTGGTGATACATCACAGTTTGTAGAGTGCTTGCTGAGCATAAAACTGAGTGTGATGGCACATGCCTGTAATTCTAGCACTAGGCCAGTGAAGGCAAGAGAATCAGAAGTTCAAGATCGTCCTCAGCTACATGGAGTTGAAAGCAGCTTGTGTAGGCTTCAAGACTCTGTCTCAGAATAATAAATATAAAGGTTTTCCCTGCAGTGTTGGAATTTTAAAATACAGAGTACCAGAAATCTCCTATCTACAGTGATCTAAGTGTTTAATATATATGCCTTTTCCATTGATTTCATAATTTTCTTTGATGAATTAATGTTTTATCATTCAAAGAAGAACCAACTGAGAAATAATTCAGCAGAAAAGTAATAATGCAAGAGAAATAAGTGATAAATTTCTTTGTTTCTGTATATACCCCAGACTGATTTGAACATGAAGCTCTCCTGCCTTAGACTGCTGAGGGCCAGGTTCATTAACCACAAGTTTAGGCTCATTTTTTGACATTTTTCCCACAGCTTTATAATTTTTTTAAAAATTCATATGAATAACTAAATATTTAAAAGAAACCAAGTGCTTTTCCACAGGTTTTTAAGTATTAACCTTTTGAGTTGGTGAGAGAGAACTCAACTATTAAGCGCACTTGCTGATCTTCTAGGGAACCTGAATTCATTTCCCTGTAGCCACATCATTTAGTCTCCCAACTGCCAGTTAACTGTATTTCCAGGGATCTGTTCTCCTCTTCTGGCCTTCACAGGCACCTGTACATATGTGATATATAGGTACACAGACACATATACAAAATACAAAAGTAAATCTTTTAAAAAGTAATAGGAAATATCCATATTTCCAGTAACTTTTGTGTTGGACAATTATTAAAACAAACAGAAACCAAGAACAAAAACATTACTTTGGATCCCCTAGAACTGAAATTATAGACAATTGTAAGCCATTGTGTAGGTGCTAGGAATCCAACCCAGATCTTCTGCAAGGATGACCTGACTTCAGATTCCTAGCACCCAAGTAAAAAGGCCAGGTTGACTACACTAGCCTTTAATCCCAGGCCTGGTGAGGGTATCTAGGGCCAGTTTGGCCAAACTGGTGAACTCCAGGTTCAGTGAAAAACCCGGTCTGAAAAAAAAAAGAAGAAAGTGTGGAGAGCTATAGAATGTAATACCCAAGCTCAGCCTCTAGTAACCTCTATTAACACACATGCATGAACATACACTACACTACATGCACATGCACATACATACACACACACACATAACACACAAAACACACACACACACACATGCACACACCTGTTTCTAGGTTACAATGTATGCTATACCCAAGAAGAATTTAAAATCATACATTGTGGTATGAGAAACAGTTTCTAACAAATAAGTAAGAAACCTTATCAGCAAATACAGACAACCTCAGGTTGGTAGATCTAATCTGTGTTTCTGCCATTTCAGATGATGGGCAAACAACAAGTGAATGTTTGAGTGTAGGATTAGATTTTGTAGAAATTGAAGGAATGTAGAACCCAATGTCACTTGCCTTGTGCAATGGTTCTTTCTTCCTTTCTGCCCACCTCTCCTTCTTACTTCCATCCCCAAACTGAAATGAATGGAAAAGCAGAGTTACGAGAACTAGATGAGTTTCCGTTGTCCTACATGTATACATGCCTGTACAAGTGAAAAGCACTCTTTAACACCCCTCAAAGAGCAAAGAATTAAAATAATGCATGATAAATGCAAAACATTTTATGAAAATACTCTTATGGTCAAAGCAGCAAAACAACCAATTTTAAAATGGTTATATGTGGAAAGTTGGAAATAAAAATGTTGTGAGCTTAGAATTTTCATTGATTTGCTTGGAAGAAAAATAACAGAGGTGTGTTCGTGGTAGTATTCTACCTTGGAAGCAGTAAGTGGCAAGAGAGCTTACCCTGTTAGCAGTGAATGCCTCTAGGAAGGCACTGCTGCTCCTCAGGGTTCTCAGTGTCGGCTCAGTCAACTCTGTCGGTGTCTGTTGCTTCACTGTTTTAATTGTCTTTAATGATGCTAGAAATGATTATTGTATTTCTCTTTTCTTCCTATAGAATTTGAATTTTACAGGGTTTCGAAAAATCCTTAAAAAGCATGATAAGATCCTGGAAACATCTCGTGGAGCAGATTGGCGAGTGGCTCATGTAGAGGTGGCCCCATTTTATACATGCAAGAAAATTAACCAGCTCATTTCTGAGACTGAGGTACAACACCTCTGCTTGCTTGCCATATATGTTCAGATTCATTTGTAGGTATTTTAAAGAAATGATCCACTATTTTTGTCCTTTTATAAGTTACTGGTTTAGAATACTTAGGCTCTTATTTAAGGTCTTTTGCTTTTGCTTTATCAGTATATTTATCAAGAGGCTATCAGAACATTATACACATGTGTATGTATGTGTATCACTTTTATTTAGGATAATTTATACCAAAACTTGACAATTTATCTTTCTAGGCTGTAGTAACCAATGAACTTGAAGATGGTGACAGACAAAAGGCTATGAAGCGATTGCGTGTCCCTCCTTTGGGAGCTGCTCAGGTTAGTATATGCTTCTAGTGGTCTGTTTTCCTTTTTCATACTTTATAATTAATACAGTATTGTTGACTGCTGTCATTACCTTAAAATTTTTTAAGCTAGATTTTGTAAATAGTTGCTATTATTGCTATTCTCATTATAAAACCAAAAAATGGATATTAGGATCCAGACATGGTGGCACATGTTTTAATCCAGTACTTAGGAGGCTAAGGCAGAGTAACCATTAGTTCAAGGCCAGTCTGGTCTACATAAGACCCATGTTAGGGAAAGGAAAGAAAGAAGGAAAAATTAGATGTGAGCCTTCTTATCATAATGAATTGCAGTGTCTTGCACCTATCTCTTAATGCTCCCCTTCAACTCCCTCTCCTATTTGTCCCTACACATATTTGCTTCATGGTAATTGCCTTATCAACTATGATGAGGTTTTGTTGTTGTTCATGATATGAGTAGTTCAGATGTACTGAATTACCATATAGCTTTTTCCAAAATAGCAGTATTATAACCCTGCAAAAGAGGTGAGAGGCTTATTAAATACTATTTATATAGCACTTAAGTGGTATATTCTGTCACATAAAACATGTCTCAGTAAATTAAAAAGATTTATCATGGAGTATTTTCTGTGATCACAGTGTATTTAAATTAATAATAAAGAACTTCTGTAACTTAATAACTGGAATGTTTGAAAAAATTAGACTTGATGTCATACTTTGTTACCAGGAGCAAATTGGGTATTCAGTCTTAAAACTGCCATTGAAGCTTTTCCTGGTGATTATAGCCAGTGTGGTAGGATCAAAAAAAGACATAGAAAGAAACATAAAAATGTTGGAGGTTTTGTTGTTTGTTTGCTATTAGTAAATTGATGATCTCTGTAGAAAATCCAGTGATCTGTATTGCTACTAAGCTAATCAGGAAGTTAGAAAGCTTATAGAATATATCACCAGTTTACAAAAAAATCAAATGTATATCTGCACATCAAGTACAGTTAAATGTCAGGACATTGCCAGTAATGCCACAGAAATAAGAAATGTGTAGTAATAGTTCTGGCAAAAGATCTGAAAGATTTTTACATTGGAAATTACAGAACACTGCTGAAATAAAATACAGATCAATTAAGTGAGAGGTATATTGAATTATGGGAATATTATGTAAGTAAGCTCAGTATTTTTAGGAAGCCATTTCTTAATTTTAGATATATAGAGCATAATCCATCAAAAAAATCTCAGCTGGGTGTTGGTGGCGCACACCTTTAATCCCAGCACTCAGGAGGCAGAGGCAGGCGGATCTCTGTGAGTTCGAGACTAACCTGGTCTACAGAGTGAGTTCCAGGACAGCCTCCAAAATAATACAGATAAACCTGTCTCAAAAAAAAAATCTCAGTAATGGTGCAATGGTATGTGTGTGTGTGTGTGTGTGTGTGTGTGTGTGCGTGTGCGTGCCCATATGCATGTAAATTGGTAAGCTAGTTTTAAAATGCATGAAATGCAAAAACCTACAATAGCCAGTACATCTTTGAAACAAATTGAAGGTTAAAATATTATCACTATATGGTCTAAAAAACCTATTAAAGCTGCAGTAGTCAAGGTAGAGTCAAGATAGGCATACACTTCAATGGAACAGAATAAAATCTAAAAATACACAAATATATGTATATAACTAATTTTAATATAGACATAAAGCATACCAGTATAGGAAGAATGATGTTTGCAACAAATAGCTTAGATAGTTGAATTATCTATGCAAAAAGAAAGCACAAGCCTTTATTTGTTTTTTATACCACGTGTTTTTAGACATAACATGAACCTAAGTTAAACCTAAAACTACAAAGAAAATATGGGGACAGTCATAGCAGCTTTAGGTGATTCAAAGACTTTTTAGAAATGACATTGAAAGTGCTTCATAAAAGTTAAAAACAAATCTTCAAAAGACCCTGTAAAGGAAATTGAAAAGTATTAAACTAGTAGAAAATATTTATAAAAACATGTCTGGTAAAAGGCATATTTTATTAAGAGCACATAGAGGACTCCAATAGTTAACAGCCAGAAAACAGCCTGTCTAAGTGGAAAATGGGAACATGGCAAGGTGCTTCACTTCAGTGACCTTTTGAGACAGCAAACTAAAACCATAGAGAAATACTACCTGTAACCATAACTGTAGTTCAGAGATTGACTACACCCGTGATTGGAGGACCAGATCCTCATCTCATATGCTGCTGGTGGAATAGATGGCATAACCCATTAGCATATAGTTGGGGAGTTTCCTAAACAGTTAAATGTACATCTACCACATGACTGGCTGTTATAGTCCTAGGTATTTATCTAAAATAAGTGCAAGCATATGCCCACAAAGAAGAGTTCATAGCAACTTTGTTTGTAGTGGCCTAAAGCTGGAACCAGCCTGAATAAACAATTGTGCTATATCTTCTCAGCCTGAAAAATACTTTGTTGATACATGTTAAAACATAGGTAAAAAGAGAAGGCCTCTCTCTCTCTCTCTGTTCTTTTTTAAGTATACACTCTCTGACTCCATTTACTTAATACTTTGGAAAATATAACCCAGTAAAAATGACACAAAGTAAAGTGGTGAGGAGAATGAGTGACAACAAAGGGAGGAAACTCTTAGAAGTAGTGAATATGTTCGGGTGTTGTTTTTGTTCACTTTCTTTCACTTGTTTTTTTGAGAAAAGGTTTGTATAGCCCAGGCTGACCTCAAACTCACTATGTGGCCAAGGCTGGCCTTGAACACCTGGTACCCCTGCCTTCCTCAATATACTGTCTTGATTGTCTTTATTATGGTTATGATTTAATAAATATCTATATGTACTAATCTTGTAAAAATCTTATCATACTTTAAATATGTTTAAATATTATTTTAAAAATCTTTAAATACTTTAAATCTAGAGTATGTGCAATTCATTGTATGCCAGTGTTCAATAAAACAGTATTTTAAAAAACCATAGACATATCAGAGTCAAATTGATTGAAAGATAAAAAGAAAAAACTGTAAAAGCATCAGAACAAAGAAATTGTGTTTTAAGTGTATATAGTTTATTATACTATTTATATCAGAATAAAACTTTAAAATGAGGAAAAGTAATTTGAAAACTGAAGTGTTTAAAATGTGTTTAGAGGAGACTGACATGGTTACCTGGAGAGGAGGGAAGGTTTCTGATGAGATAGGGAAGGGCGTCAGGGTGGGATGTTATCCCAAGACTGATGTAGTCACCATATATGTTCACTTCACCAGCTACTTATAACATTCTAAATATATGAATAGAATTGAATTGTGTAATTTTTGAAACTAAAGTAGCTTTCAAGAAAATATAAATTATCATCTTCCTTCTAGATATTTTCATTTGGAAACTGACAATACAGATCCCTCTTGTGACAAGTAATCAGCGTTTTGATGCTTGCAGGGAGGGGACTATAATTAAGTCTAATCTCTCACCCTTAGCAACATTAAAAAGCCATAAGTTTATCTATCTGTCCTTCATCCCTTTATACTTAAAATCTAAGGAATTCTCTATTTGTTATTGCTGTAAAATCCAATTATTATAAAGAAGAATGTAATTAAGTCCAATGCTCTGGAGATTTTAATACGCTCATCTCTTAATAACTCTAGCAAATTTTAAAATGTTTCATTTAAGGGCTAGCTAGAGATGTGACCCCAAGGTTGGGAGTGCTTATTGTTCTTGCAGAAGACCCAACGGACCTACATAGAAAACTCAAAACTACCTTAACTCCAGTTTCAGGTGAATCTGATGTCATATGACCTCTGTGGGTGCCTACACACATGTGGTGCATACAACTCACAGAGACACACATATATGTAAATAAAAGAATAACTATTTAAATTTTTTCATTTAAGGGCTCTCAGTATAAGGGTATAACATATTATCAGAAAGTGTTTATATCTTTTCCGTTGACTCTCATTATTCATAGTACCAAAACGTAAACTCTAACTGAATAATTGTGATTTTAAAATGTAGAAATAAATACATTTTATAGAAATAATTGCATTCTAAGTCACTCAAAGGAAACATACTTCAATGTATTAATCTGAAGCCTAAAATTACCATCTTATTTTATGACCAGGAGCTTACCAGTCTATCTAGGCTCACTGTCCAGCGAGCTCCAGGAATCTTTCTGCCTTTACCCACCTGGCACTGGGATTACAAACATACACAGTACCCAGCTTTTAATGTGGGGTCTGCCTGACTTTTTACATGGTTGCTGGGGATCCAGCCTCATGCCAATATGGCAAGCACTTTACTGGATGAGCACCTCCCCAGTCTCATGATTCAGATTTCTGTAAAATAACTCAATAGTGTTCCTATTCTAGTTACAGGATGATAGAGTGTAAATGATCCTCTGCTTCAGAGTTATTAAAAAAAAGTTAATAAAATATAGTTTCCTTGTAGAACTTTGAGGTTCATACTACTAAGTTACTATACTATAATATGTATTGCATGTGTTTGGTGTCTTGTCTGTTCAACTCAGAATTCTGTTTTCTGTCCCTAGCCTGCGCCAGCATGGACTACTTTTAGAGTTGGCCTATTTTGTGGAATATTCATTGTGTTGAATATTACCCTCGTGCTTGCAGGTAATTCTTAAACTTTTTAGCTCATTTGTTCTTATTATGTTTATGGCATAGTCTTTCCTTTTGTAAATAATCAAGCATGTATCTACCAAAACTGCTGAAAGTTTTGTGAGAGGTTTTAGATAGTTATTTTTCCTTTGAGATATAATTCTTTAAAATGTTGATTTCTTATTTACTATCATTTTCTGGTATTTAACTTCAGGAATTTTAGAGTTCAGTTATCAAGAACTTAAGCTTAGGCTTAAGTGAGATGGTTCAGTGGGTAAAAATGCTTGCTGCCAAGTCTAACTACATGAGTTTGACCCCCAGGTCTCACATGGTGGAAGAATGAAGCTGACTCCCTTGTGAGTGACATGGCACATGTACACATATACACAAATGCACACTAGATAAAAAGTGTAATTAATTTAAGAACTTGTTTTCTTGATCATAGATGAAGATAAGTATGTTACAAAGTTCATTCACTAAACCTTACTTACTTATTATAGAGACCCCCCCTCATGTTTTTCTGAACCTGCTTATAACTGCTCTGCATGCTTGGCTATGTAGTTTTCAATGCAATGGAAGTTACAAGTAGGGGATAGGTTGCTTGTTTAGCATGTATGAAGTCCTATGTTCATTCACCAGCACTACATAAAACCAGGCATAGTAGCACATACTGATAATCCCAGCATTTGGGAAGGAGAAGCATAAAGATCAGGAGTTCCAAGAATTTCCTCAGGTACATAGTGTGTTTGAAGCCAGCCTGGGATAAATGAGATTTTTGTCTCAAAACAAACCCACCCACAAAGAAGTTAACAATTAGAAAGGATTTCTATAGGATCAGCTGTAGTCCTGACATTAGGAAATAATACAGTACCAAGGAACAGGTAACCTTTGTAACTCTGACAGACAGCCTTACTATGCCTGCCCAAGAATTTGAGGAGTCCTTCAGTAGCATTTCATGTTATCACTGCTTGAAAAACTTCAAATGCCACATACCTGTTATTTTTCCTATTATTTCTTTAGCATTTCTTTGTCAAGTCATGCTATTCTTTGTGGCATTGAGATATTGGGTAGTCCCAATAAATTCAATCCTCATTTCTCTACCATCTTGCTCATTTACTATCTAGGCAAATTATTCAAGCCGATGGCTACAAATACTATCTATATGCTAATGACTCACAAGTATATATCCTCTCTCTTCTGAAAAAAAGATCTAATTGGCTATTTGGATATCTAATGGGTATTTCCCTTTTAAATAGACAAAAGGACCCTTGGGTTTTTTTTTTATTATTGTTGTTGTTTTTGTTTTTTTAAGTTGCCCAAATAGAGCCCAAACCTTTTAAGTCCCTTTTTACCCCTGTCTTAGCTGAAATTATCAACTTAAAAAGACAAAAGATTTATTTTGGCTCATGGTTTTAAAGATTTTAGTCCTTGATCACTTTCAGTTCAGGCCTGTGGCAAGATAGAACATCATGGTGGAAACTATTGAAGAATAAAATTTCTCACTGAGTGGAAACCAGAAAGTATAGGGTGAGGAGGGAAGATGTTCTAGTGTAGTCTTCATGTGGCCTTCCCAGTTGACTTTCTTCCTCCAACTGGGCCTGAACTTTTCAAGTTTCTCCCTCCCAGTAACACCATGATCTGGGAACCAACACACATGATACATGACCAAGATATGTGAGCTTTGGCCAACACTTAGGATTCAAACAACATCCCTCATATGTTATCACTAATACATACAAGAAATCTATTGCTCTGTATTCATACTATGTTTGAACTTGATCTCTTTTCACTTCATCAGTTAGTACTGTCCTTGTCTCAAGAGCCATTTCTTGTTTATTGTACAATAGCCTAAACGTATCTCTTTACATGGCGTGTTGTCCTCTTCTAACCACAAGTTTGTGGGAGAGTGGTTTCTTCCTCCCTTTCTCCTTTCTTCAGCCCTTCTTCAAATTCCTTACCATACTATGCAAGACCTTCAAGGATACTTCACACTTAGTCATTTCTTACTTCCTATCCTATCTTTCTCCACTGTGCTCATCCACTTTCATTTACTATTCTTTGAACACATCTGTTGCCTGAGGGATTCTTTCCCAGGGTGTTTCTTTGCTTATTCTTTCCCTTCATTTAAGGTTCTACTCAAATGCTGTCTCTTCAGTGAGACCCTCTGTGGTCCCCTACACTGAACAGTCTGTTCTGTATCTTTCTGTTCTTTTAGTCTACATTTGTTCTCTTAAGAATGCTTATCTGACAGGGTGTCACATACTTATGTCTCTGCTTTCCCACTAACATGTAAGCCACATTTGAACTTGATACCAAATTTCTCAGTGCCTGGGCTTTTGTCTCCAGTACTGGAATGCTACATGGAACATAACAGGAATTCAAAAATATTGAGGAAGTTTGAATGGATGGAAGAGATAAAGAGTTGTAATTAAATGGTGTACAGAACTCATTATTCCTTGTAAGAATTCTCCTCACCACTGCCTGTTTTGCATTATAAAGTAATAACCCAAATTGTAAGTGCTTTTACATGAACTTTACCTATTCACAGTATGTTTTCATTGTATTACTAGTGTTCTCTGGCTAGAGAGATGGTTCAGCCATTAAAGGCTAGGCTCACAACAAAAACATTGCAAGTTCCCCTTCCCACCAGTTGCTATGTATTATGGATCCATAGATTACAATGTAATATTGGTGAAATTTATGATCATTTGGTAACCTGTTTCTGTTTATATAAGGTAATTATAGTCTACTTGTATAAAACATATGGAAATTCTGTAGTACACCCCGACCTAACTTACCAAGCTAGCTGCCATGAAAAGGACGGAAGTCCTGCCTGAGTTTCAGTTTCAGCTCCACTGTTGGTTGTTAGTTGTTACTGGTGTATGGACAACTGTTAGCTTTTCTAAAACAGTTTCCTCATTACTTGAGAATTTATTTGTTCATCCACAAGTAACTTTAAAATCTGGTGTGTGTGTGTGTGTGTGTGTGTGTGTGTGTGTGTGTGTGTGTGTTGCGTAAATGCAGATTCAAGAACAATCAGATGCCTCTGCACATGTGGCAAGTCAGAGGATAAGATCCAGTATCTTTCCATCTCATTTTGAGGCAGGGTTGCTCTATTATTTACCTGTGCTCTGCCAGACTGGCTGGCCTATGAGCCTCCAAGATCCTCCTGTCTCCACCTGCCAACTTGTTGCTGGAACATTGGGATTATGGATTAATGTTTTAAAATCATGCTTTTTATGTAGGTTCCTAGGATTCCAATCTAGATCCTCACACTTGCAGCACAGGCACTTTACCTACTGAGACATCTCCCCAGCCCATCCACAAGTCAATTTTATGCATCTCCCAATTGTCCCTGATCCCCAGGAGTCTTAAACATAAAAAGTTGTGTGTAGGGGGTGGGAGTTGTATAGCTCAGTAGTAGTATGCTTGCTGTCACAAATGGACTCCTGGGTTAGGTCCCCAGTACCGCAAAACTAGATGAAATCAATTTTTCAGACAGGTGTGTAGCATACTTGTAATCAGCATTTAGCAATGGAACTGGGAGAATCAGGAGGTCAGTATTATCTTAAGTTCGAGACTATCCTGAGCTACATGTAATATATACCTCAAAAACATGGAGGGTATTAAATGTTCTAAGCAGTACATTGAGACAACTGAGTGTTTTTTTAAATTAGACTATTGGGGCCAACACTGTGACATTATAATTTGATGGAATTAAAAACATTACCCACAGAAGGAAAGAGAACAACTTAGTTGGTCTAGGATGAGAGTCAGGTATAGGAGGAGAGAGGGAGTTACCAGAGAGGTAATGCATCTGCCTGGGCTGAGGAGCGGTGGGCTAGTAGAGCAGGGTGAAGGTCCATCTTTGAGAGCAGCTCACATCTGGGATCATCAATAACCTCAGTATAACTGCGTGTGTGGCTATCTCTTTAGGAAAATATTGTTACTTATTTATGAGTGGATTTACTTGTCTAATTTTCAAGATGTATGTATGTGGTGGTGTTATCCTCACTAGTTTAAGACAAATGTATTTTCATGTGAATTAAATGGAAAGGGTTTTTGTTTGTGTGTTTTATGTCTTAATTATGTCAAGCTGGGGTTTTAATATAGACTATATTATTGGGATAGTTTGATTTTTGAAATGCATGCAACTTATACATCTAGCATTGTGCATTATGTCCTAACCTCAGAACCCTTCTTTGTTTGATCTTCCTGCGTACTGGTGAGGGGGAGGGTAACCAGAGACAAAGCCAGCTGTCTATCCTTATATATGTCCCCTCGGGTACTCAGATGATAACAGTGTTGAGAGTCAGAGGGAACCGCAACAGCAGTAATGCATGTACAAGCACGATTCTTTTCTTAGAGCATCCACATAAAAAATTATGTGCATAATTACTGTCGTTTCTCAAGGGGACTTGGCCCAGTATTCAATAATTTGCCAGAAAAATGTCCCAGAGTTTTAGATTCATAAAAATGAAATTTTTGCTGTATAGGTTTTTTTTTCAAATTTTCTTTTAGAAATCTTTGCTCAATTTGAAATAATCACAGTATGCCATATTTCACTTACTAAGTTCACCATTTACAGTAAGATAATGGTATAAACTAAGCACTTGTAAATTAATAAGACTGTTGATTGTTGAAGGCTCTTTTGAAAATAATGTACTATATGTAAAATTTTTATAATAATTTTGACTAACTTTAGTTTTTTGCAAATTAACTTACTGCCTAGGCTCCTAAAGGTAAAGAAATTATTTATTGTCATGTTGCTTATAATAGCAATATCTTGGAATGCTCATATAGCCACTGATTGTGAACTATGCAAATGAGTTGTGTTGCCGTGTACAATGGCATACCATGGGAACTAGTGCTGGAATTGAAAGGTGGGCATAGCACTTTGAAGAATGGTTTGCCACTGTTTATCAAAACTGACTGTGTGTTAACCTATGATCCGTCTCTTGTAATGGAAATGAGTGCATATATCTACAAGGCAGCATTCAAGGATATTAGTAAGTGTACTGTGTTAATGTCCCCAAACTGGAACAACCCAAATGCTCATCAGCAGTATGGCAGATGTTTTACCCGATGGAGTACTATATGCAGCAGTGAGAAGAATGAAATATATCCACATGCAAGAACATAGATGAATCTCACAAGCAAATGAAAGTGGGGTTTATATAACAAAATGAATCACTTCAAAGTAAACAAAAGAAGCCAGACACCAAAAGTACATGTTACATGATTTAATTTACAGGAAGATTAAAAAGTTAGTGTTAGAAAAGAATGCTTACCATGGCTGGAAAGAAGATGCAAAGCCAGGCCTCTGAGGTGTTAATCAGGCACTGTTTGGTGTTCTAGGTCCTGATTCACTGTTGTGGAAATTTATCATACTGTTTACTTATGATTTGTTCCATCTTCCTATAGTATATGACACCTACATTAGAAAAATAAGTGAGATTTTTGTATATATTTATGAGAAAAATAGCCACTCTAGTGTGTAAATAAAAAATAAGCCTTAGGATAGCCATATGTGGCATGCTGTTAATTATAATTCAGGGTTAGTTGCATTGTTTTGAAAGTTAATTGGTATTCTATATGTGAAGAATTTCTTACAAGGGAGTAAACAAAACTTTAACATGGTAACTTCTAGGGAAGGAGGCAGGGACTTGAACATAGGAAGCTTCTTACATTTTTATATTTGAGAGCCTTTTCTCTTATACATAAAGTCCTTACTCTTTTTGTTTGTTTGTTTTGTTTTTTACGAGACAGGGTTTCTCTGTATTGTTTTGGAGGCTGTCGGTCCAGCCTGGCCTCGAACCCTCAGAGATCCGCCTGCCTCTGCCTCCCAAGTGCTGGGATTAAAGGCGTGCACCACCACCGCCCAGCTAAATTCCTTAAATATTTTTAGCAAAACAAAAACTGATTTGGTCATCCAAAATCCCAGCTTGGAGTGGGGAAAGGCTTCTGAAGCCCCACCCGTGGCTGGGGATCTATTGGCAAATGATAGCTCTTGGTGGACTCAGTGCAGTTTCCTCAGGGACATGTTCCTGGGGAGGCTACCCGTGCTCCAGTAGATGGTCCTATACCTATATCCATAAAGGCAGCATTAGTTAGTCTTCGTGAGTTTAAAAACTAAGTACATGAAATTGAGAAAGGAATGTGGCATGGAAATCGGGGAGAATTTGAGGGGTGGATGTGATCAAAACATAAAATATGCATGTATGAATTTTTTTCTTTTTTTTTTCCAGACAGGATTTCTCTGTGTTAACAGCCCTGGCTGTCCTGGAACTTGCTTTGTAGACCAGTCTGGCCTTGACCTCACAGAGATCCACCTGCCTCTACCTCCTAAATTCTGGGATTAAAAGCATGCACCACCATTTCCCTATCCAATGTATGTTTTTGCAGTGAAAATAATGAAATTATGCATATTGGGCATCATGCAACATTGCTTGACTTTTCTGTTTTTCTGAAAATAAAGTGGTCACTGGAATTTTGACAGGATTTCATTAAATATGTGGCTTGATTTGTTGTCATCTTAACAATATCAAATCTTCCAATATATGAGCATGACATTTTTTGTATATACTTAAGTCTACTCTAATTTCTATGTTTTGTCACTTTTAACATATGAGCCTTTCACCTCCTTGGTTAAAATTATTACTACATGTTTTATTCTTTTAGGTACTGTAATAATTAAAAATTGTTTTCATAATTTTATTTTCAGATTGCTTATTGCTAATGTATATAAACACAACTGAATTTTGTGTATTGATTTACTTTGTGTTCTGCGGCTTTGCTAAAACTACTAACTTTTCTTTTTTTTTTTTTTTTTTTTTTTTTTGGTTTTACAAGACAGGGTTTCTCTGTATTGTTTTGGAGGCTGTCGGTCCAGCCCGGCCTCGAAATCACAGAGATCCACCTGCCTCTGCCTCCTGAGTGCTGGAATTAAAGGCGTGCGCCACCACCCTGCTAAACTATATAGGTTGCAAACAGGTATGGTGGTGATACCGTTAATCCTCACAGAGGCAGGTGGATACAAGACCAGGCCATTTGTATCCTATCTCAGTAACTATGAACAGATTACTTAACCTGTCTGTGCTCCAGTTTCCTCAGTCAACATGGGCTGGAGAACAATTATAGTGACTTAAAGTAATTGTTACATGTAAAAGTACAAAATATAAGGCTAAGCACCTTATATATTTCAGCTATTGTCTATTTATATGACATTTAAATTCTCACATTGTCTTCTTGTGTTTTGTATCTTAACATTTTACGGTAACTTGTGAGATAAAAGTTACTGTAACTACTTTAATGGTAGAGAAAGCAGTGTTGAAGAGGACAGTATCATATGAGATGCCCCGTTGTCAAAACTATTCTTATACCAGGCAGGCATGGTGGTATATGCCTCTAATGCCAGCACACAGGAGACAGAAAGAAGCAAGAGGATCTCTGAGTTTGAGGCCAACCTGTCTACATAGCATGCTCCAGGATAGCCAGACTACATATCCAAAAACAAAAACTGGTCTTAGCATTCAAAGCCATTTAACTCTGTAGCGCTAAAGCTTAAAAAAATAGTAAAAAATTTATAGAACAGTAGAATAACATGATAAAAGCCAAGTTTGGAGGAAATTGTTTTAATGGCATTCTGCAGAGTAAAGAGGCAGAAGAGGGAAAACATCTAGAGGCAAGTTTATTGAACTCTTAAGATAATCTAGATACAGTCTTTCTTTATGAAAACCTCCTGCCAGGGCTGTGTCTCAGGGAATGAAGAAAAATAATTAAAGGGAACATTGTAGTTTTATAACTAACCAATACATTTTCTTTCAGCTGTATTTAAACTTGAAACAGATAGAACTGTGTGGCCCTTGATAAGAATCTATCGGGGTGGCTTTCTTCTGATTGAATTCCTTTTTCTACTGGGCATCAACACGTATGGTTGGAGACAGGCTGGAGTAAATCATGTCCTCATCTTTGAACTTAATCCAAGAAACAATTTGTCTCATCAGCATCTCTTTGAGGTAATAAAGCATGGAGTCTCATGAATTGTAGTTTGCAAATAACTGAATAGCTGACTTGAAGTCTACCTTCCACTTGAAGATTGTTGGCTTGTTTATCATTTTTCTTATTTTTGTTTATTAAAAATTTTTGTGTCATGATAAAAAATAACTTTCTTTTGTGTTCCCTGTACTTTATAGATTGCTGGATTCCTGGGGATATTATGGTGCCTGAGCCTTCTGGCATGCTTTTTTGCTCCAATTAGTGTCATCCCTATATATGTGTACCCACTTGCCCTTTATGGATTTATGGTCTTCTTTCTTATCAACCCCACCAAAACATTCTACTATAAATCCAGATTTTGGCTGCTTAAACTTCTGGTAAGTCTAGAAGGCTAGTGTAATATTTTTAGAGCAGTGTGTTAGTCTTTGGCTTCCTCAGAGGTCACTCATGGCTGCTAAATGGTACAGACCATATGCTCAGTTTGTATTGTGCATGTTTGTGGTGCCCAGCTTTAGGAGCAAAAGTGCTTTTGATATGCTGGATAACCTTGAAAGTTTCCAACATGGCAGCCCTGGGAAAGTGCTTTGCATTTTTTCCCTCCTAAAATGAAGTATAAAGTAATCAGATAGTGAATTGATTTTGCAAATCATGATTATTTATATTATGTTATACAGGTTTTTTTAACCAGTGCAGTACTATGTAGAACTTTCTGCTTCTTTCTAAAGAAAAAAGAGCTGGGCATGGTAGCATCATGTGATCCCTGTCCTTAAGAGATAAAGACAGAAATATTAGAATTCCACAGTCATTCTCAACTATGTAACAGTTTGTTTGAGGCCAACCTGAACCTGTCTTGTTAAATTAGGGACACTATTGTTCCTAATCGTCCAGTTGATGTGATTAGTTAGCCAAGCCATTTATTTTAGGACCAATTGGTTCTCTGAAAGTGATAGGGATATTTTGTCAGACCACCAAGCTGAATTTGTATTTTTTGTTTGTAGTAACTTCTTTATTTTGTTTTATCTGCTCTTTCAGGTTTTTTTCTTTCAGTTTTTTTTTTTTTTTTTGAGGCAGAGTCTCTAGATATAGCCCAGGCTGACTTTAATTTCATGGTTTTCCTGCCTCAGCCCCAAATTGGGATTAACAACAAGTGTGCCACAGTGCTTGGCCTTTGCCTATTTCTTAATGATCTCAAAACCCTTTAACAGTAGATTAGAGAATGTCCTGGAAAATTATAGCTGTGTTGTTTTGTGATATAGTGCAAATGTAGTTCTGGGATGAGTTGATACACTCCTAAATGGAGCCAGCTTTATTTTTGACGTCAATTAAGAATGTTCTTATGTAGATGTTTCTTAGAATATGGATTACAACTGATAATAGAGGGAAGAATAGTGGTTAAGATGAATTACCGTAACACTCTTCTTCTTCTTCCTCCTCCTCCTCCTCTACCTCCTCCTCTTCTTCTTCATATAAATATACCTCCCTGAAAAATGTAATTGTTTCCTTTGCTTTTTGTTTTTCCCTGGGGAATTAGCAATACTAGTTGAAAAATTAAAACTAAAACATGTTACACTTGGTGGCTCATTCATATAATCCCTGTATTCTGGAAGCTGAGGCCGGAAGATTGCAAAGAGTTCAAGGCCAGCTTGGTCTACACAGTGAATTCCATAGTTAGACCCTGTGTGAATACACACACACACACACACACACACACACACACACACACACACACGCACACACGCACACACACACACGCACACCCTAAAACCTGAAACACAGCTTTCTTTCCCTGTTTCTTTATTTTGCTTTTAAATGAAAATAAATGCTATAGCAACTAAGAAAATAAGATGGCCAAATTTTCTTGACTTTTCCAAAGTTGGATTTTATGAGAATTTTACCTTCTACCAAGATTTTTACTACAAATCAAAATTCTTCCTTTTTCCCTCTTGGGAGTGGGGAAGACAGCAAAAGCTCAGGGCTGGGCATATACATCAGTTAGTTGAGTGTTTGCCTAGCATACAAAAAGGCCTCAACAGTATAAATTGGGTGTGGTAATCCCTGCACTCAGGAGTGAGAGGCGAGAAGATCACAGGTTGTGTACCTAGTTCCAGAGTACCCATGAGACTCTGTCTTTAAAAAAATAATTAATTAAAAGACACTTAAGTATAACTACTGCTCCAAATTTAGATTTGATTTCTGAGTATAAATCTTAGATGTACAAGAATATTTTGGTCAGTCATAATGAAACTATAACCTAGGAAACAATGTTTTGTTGGGGGGGTGTATACAATTTCATTATGTAGCTGAGGCTATCCTGAATTTTAATATGTAAACCAAACTGGCTTTGAACTTACAACCTTCCTGCCTCAGGTTTCTAAATGCTGGGATTACAGGCATGTGCCAAGAACCCAGTATCAGCATACTTTTTAGAGAGGATAGTTTTAGGTTTCAGAGGGAGAAGAACAAAATTGAGTCATTATTTATCTCTTGAATATATTAAAAGTATTATCTTTTATCTTAGATTACCTATAAATGTAAAATCCCGATAAGGTGTTTATTTTTATTTTTTGTCATTCTTTTTATTTATTAATTCTTATTTTTTTAATTTAAATTAGAAACAAGGATGTCAGTCCCAGCTCACTCTCCCTCCCCTCCTCCCATACCCTCCCACAAACCCCCCCCCAGCGCTCCTCCCCCAATCCCCACTCCATTCCCCAGGGAGGAGATTCTTTCAAGGCAGGGCCTAGGTCCTCCCCCAAGAGTCCAGGCTAAGAGAGCATCTCTCATTGTGGGATGAGCACCCAAAATCTCTTTGTATGCCCCGGATAAATGCCTAGGCCTCCTCACTGATAGCCACATTCAGGGGGTATGGATCAGTCCCATGCTGGATTCCCAGCCATGAGTCGGTGGTTCAAGAGCTCCCCCTTGTTCATGTCAGCTGTTTCTGTGGGTTAAACAAGCCCAGTTTTGACCCCTATGCTCATCAGTCCTCCTTCTCTGTACTGGGTTCCTTGAGTTCAGCTCAGTGTTTAGCTGTGGCTGTCTGCCTCTGCTTCCATCAGTCATTGGTTGAAGGCTGGCACTCCCCTGATCCATGTCTAAAATCCATATATGAGTGAGTATACACCATGTTTGTCTTTTTGTGACTGGGTTACCTTGCTCAGGATGGTTTCTTCTAGTGCCATCCATTTGCCTGAAAATTTCAAGATACCATTGTTTTTGTTTTTGTTTTCCGCTGAATACATAAACTGTATAAATGGAGTACTATTTTCTCTATCCAGTCTTCAGTTGAGAGGCATCTAGGTTGTTTCCAGGTTCTGGCTATTACAAATAATGTTGCTATGAACATGGTGGAACAGACATCCTTGTTGTACGAATGTGCATTTTTGGGTATATGCCTGAGTGGAATTGCTGGGTCTTATGGGTAGGCTGATTCCTATTTTCCAGAGGAATCTCCATACTGATTTCCAAAGTGGCTGAACAAGTTGACACTCCCACCAGCAGTGGAGGAGTATTCCCTTTTACCACATCCTCTCCAGCATAAACTGTCATTGGTGTTTTTGATTTTAGCCATTCTGACAGGAGTAAGATGGTGTCTCAGAGTTGTTTTGATTTGCATTTCCCTGATGGATAGGGATATTGAGCAGTTTCTTAAGTGCCTCTCAACCATTTTAGACTCCTCTATTGAGAATTCTCTATTTAGTTCTGTACCCCACTTTTTAATTGGATTCTTTGGTGTTTTGGAGACTTGCTTCTTAAGTCCTTTGTAAATTTTGGAGATCAGCCCTCTGTCAGATGTGGGGTTAGTGACTATCTTTTCCCATTCTGTGGGTTGCCTTTTTATCTTGTTGAATGTGTCTTTTGCCTTACAGAAGCTTCTCAGTTTCAGGAGGTCCCATTTATTAATTGTTGACCTCAGTGTCTGTGCTCTTGGTGTTATGTTCAGGAAGCGATCTCCTGTACCAGTTCGTTCAAGGGTACCTCTCACTTTCTCTTCTAAGAGGTTCAGTGTGGCTGGATTTATGTTGAGGTCTTTGATCCATTTGGACTTAAGTTTTGTGCATGGTGATAGACATGGATCTATCTGCATTCTTCTACATACCAGCATCCAGTTCTGCCAGCACTATTTGTTGAAGATGCTCTCTTTTTTCCATTGTTTAATTTTAGCTTCTTTGTCGAAGATCAGATGTTCATACATGTATGGGTTAATATCATGGTGTTAAATTCGATTTCTTTGGTCTGCCTGTCTATTTTTGTGCCAATACCAAGCTGTTTTCAGGACTATAGCTCTGTAATAGAGATTGAAATCAGGGATGGTGATGCCTTCAGACGTTGCTTTGTTGAATAAGATTGTTTTGGCTATCCTGTGTCTTTTGTTTTTCCATATAAAGTTGATTGTTGTTCTTTCAAAGTCTGTGAAGAATTGTGCTAGGATTTTCATGGAGATTGCATTGAATCTGTAGATTGCTTTTGGCAAGATTGCCATTTTTACTATATTGATCCTATCTATCCAAGAGCATGGGGGATCTTTCCATTTTCTGGTGTCTTCTTTAATTTCTTTTTTTAAGGACTCAAAGTTCTTGGGATACAGGCCTTTCACTTGTTTGGTTAGCATTACCCCAAGGTATTTTATGTTGTTTGTGGCAATTGTAAAGGGTGATGTTTCTCTGATTTCTTTCTCAGCCCTTTTATCATCTATATCATATATAGTAAGGCTACATTTTCTTGAGTTAATCTTGTATCTTTGCTGAAGGTATTTATCAGCTGTAGGAGTTCCCTGGTAGAGTCATTGGGTCATTTATGTAAACTATCATATCATCTGCAAATAATGAAAGTTTGACCTTTTCCTTTCCAATTTGTATCCCTTTGATCTCCTTTTGTTGTCTTATTGCTCTAGCTAGAACTTCAAGTACAATATTGAAGAGGTATGGAGAAAGTGGACAGCCTTGTCTTATTCCTGATGTTAGAGGAATTGCATTGAGTTTCTGTCCATTTAATTTGATGTTGGCTGTTGGTTTACTGTATATAGCTCTTACTAGGTTTAGGTATGTTCCTGTTATCCCGGATCTCTCCAAGACCTTTATCATGAAGGGGTGTTGGATTTTGTCAAAGACTTTTTCAGCATCTAGTGAGATGATCATGTGATTTTGTTTGTTTGTTTGTTTCTCAACTTGTTTATATGGTGGATTACATTGATGGATTTTCGTATGTTGAACCATCCCTGCATCCCTGGGATGAAACCTACTTGATCATGGTGAATGATTGTTTTGATGTGTTCTTGGATCCGGTTTGCCAGTATTTTATTGAGTATTTTTGCATCAATGTTCATGAGGGATATTGGTCTGAAGTTCTCTTTCTTAGTTGTGTCTTTGTGTGGCTTGGATATCAAGGTTATTGAAGCCTCATAAAAAGAGTTTGGCAAAGACCCTTCTGCTTCTATTGCATGGAATACTTTGAGAAGAATTGGTATAAACTGTTTTTTGAATTTCTGGTAGAATTCTGCATTGAAGCCATCTGGACCTGGGCTTCTTTTGGTTGGGAGACTTTCGATGACTGCTTCTATTTCCATAGGGGTTATAGGTTTATTTAAATTGCTTATCTGTTCTTGATTTGTTGCTTTTGTAATGTTGTTATTGAAATGAAAGTGTTACTGTGTGTAGGTCATTTAAAATCATATTAATTTCTTTTATTCAAATTTCACTGGTAGAATTAGTCCCTATAATGTATGCCAGAAAATTAACAATGTTTTCACTGCAGTTATGTTTCTTTGAAATCATTTTTAAAAGACTTTTCCTAAAATAAAATGCATATTTCCCTTTTTTTCCACCTCCAATTTTCAGTGTAAGAAACACATACGTCATGTGGCCATAATAGTAAAGACTATTTCCTATTATGTTCGTAGTTATATGGGAATCTTTGAAATAGGCATGTGCTACCTTCCCTTCAAGAAAAACTTAAGGACTGTAAGATACTAACTTACTGCAATATTGAATGTCTAATATAGCACAGTCTATTTATAGGTCTCTTTCCTACATCTCTATTTGTCCCAACTAGAAATCCAATTAGAAAGTATAAGCAAAGCCCCAGATTTCCAACAGTAACATTACCTTATTCTTCTAGTAAACTAACTAAAGATTTAAAATAGAGCTGGGTGGTGGTGGCGCACACCTTTAGTCCCAGCACTCAGGTGTCAGAGGCAGGTGGATCTCTTTGAGTTCAAGACCAGCCTGGTCTACAAAGTGAGTTCTAGGACAGCCACGGCTACACAGAGAGACCCTGTCTCAAAAAATGAATAAACAAACAAACAAATAAAAAGTAGAGTCCTTAGTTACATAATTTAGAGGACAGTTTCTAACAATATTTTTGTTCTGTAGTAAAGTTGTGTGTACATTCACATGAACTCAGGGTGCTGGAGAATGACTCAGTGGTTAAGACCACAGGTTGCCCTTCCAGAGGACCCAGGTTTGATTCCCAGCACTCACTTGGTGGCTCACTACTGCCTATAACTCCACTTCCAAGGGATCTGATTCCCTCTTCTGCCCTCTGAGAGCATCAAACACAAACATCGTGCACAGACGGACATATGTTCAGGCAAAACATCCATATACATATAATAATTTTTGAAGTAGAACTTGTCTCATGTTCTTAGCTGTTTGTCTGTATTAGCTTATTCTACGCACAAGCTGACCATCCCTAACCTGAAATCTGAAATGCTTCAAAATCCTTTTTTTTTAACATCAATATCCCATCAGTAGTGGGTCATTCGTTGTGAGATCAGAGAAAGCAGCCATACTAAGTATAGTATATATTTACCTTCAGCTATCATAGATTCTGAATGTAGACCACCCCCAAGATAGCTTATAAAGGATTAGCAAATATTCCAGACTCTAAAATATACTGGCCCTAGGCCAGTAACTTATCAATAACTTTCCAGTGGTATTTTTTGTGCATTTGATTAAACATTCAGAATTAATTCTACGTTTCATAATGCTGTTACTCCAGGGATCTATCATTTTCATCAAAATCAGAGTAGAAATAGAGACTTTGGAAGGCTTTGGCTAGAATAGAAAAAAGAGTTTATGACACTCTTTTAGAAGGAGAATTCAGATAAATCTGGAATGAAGTTGGTTGTGCATAAATGTCAGAGTTAAGTATGACCTGTCCTCCCTCTCAGCTTGCCTGTGACAGAACTGTTTGTTCCCATCTGTTTTCTAGGGTGTCCTTTTTAATGTATCTCTAGGATACACTTGTCATAGGGTAGCATTATTGTATCTCTGTGCATTTATTTCCAAGACTTGGTCTCGTAAGCCTTCGAGGTCACTGAGAGTAGAGACTATGTTTATTTACCTACCCTTCCACAATGCTTGACATATAGTAAGTACTTAAGTCCTTGTTAAATGCCTAAGTGACTAACATTAACTCTTTCCCTTCTGAAAAAAAAATCCCTCCATTTCAGGGTTTTTTTTAATTTTCACATGAATTCCTCTTGTAGTCTCAGCCTCCATCCTTTATTTCTTATTGCAATACACTCTTCTGCTGCACTTAGAGAAACGTTCTGGACTAGCCAGGTTTTGAGGATGGAATTGGTAATTAAAATAATGGAAGCTTGTCTCGTGTCAGACGGAATCAGTTTCCCCTACGCTGCCAATTTTGTAAAAGTCAACTACTAGAGACTAGACTTTCTGATCCTTTGGTGTTATATTGGAAATTATCTTCTTGCCTTTGTTTCTTTGAAGTATTTAAGTCTATTCTACATCCTAGAGTATCTCAAAATATTACAAAGACTCACACCAGAGTCTGTTCATACATTGATTGCCAAGACCTCATTCTACCGCTTCCCTATAAGGAAGTATCCTCTATCTAGAGCTTATGGTGCAATAGTATAGCTTGTAACCTAGCATTTTAGACTCAACAAAATATAAGGGAGCTATCAAGAGATAGAACCCAAAGATACCAGCTCCAGAAACCAATTATCTCAAAACCTGTATTGTTTCCTGGTTTATTTCTAATACAGTGTTATAGATGGCAGTCAGGATTGATTCATACTATATAGTCATATATCTCTCTGAAGAGAAGTGCCTGTGGACTGAATAGAAAGAACCAGCCACATCTGAGAAGAGGGTTGCCACAGATTCCCAGGTTAAATTTGTCTACTAAGTGAATACAGCTATACATCCAGAGAGCTAGAAATTTACTCATTTTCAAGATTGCTTCTTTGACAAAGATGTACATCATTATTTTATCTTAGACATTTTCTTCTGTGTAATAAAACCAAGGGAGTCTGACAGGATATAAAAGCTATCTGCATCCATACTCCTTCGTACAGGGTCATCCAAGTACTCTCCACTACTTGAGCTTATTCTGGTTATGACATTAGTGCCTGAGTCTTATCTTCTCTGCAATACCAGAATTTCTCTTTGCATTTATAACAGGTTAATGTAGAACAAGCCAAGATGAGTTTGTATTTAATGGAAATAACAGTAATACTTAGCTTTGGAATTGAGAAAGTTGGGTATGGTGGAACACAACCTATGATCCTAGCATTTAGTATGTAAAGGTAGGAGGATTTCAAGTTAGAGGCCAGTCTGAGCTACATAATGAAGCCTGACTCAGCCTACTCCCTTTAAGAAAAGTTGTTAGAATAATTGAGCTGTAGTATTCCAGAAACCTGAAGAAAATATGTTCCATGAGTTAATGTTCAATATGTTTGCTTAATAGACTTGCCATTATTTTCAGGACAGTAGTAAGAGAGGTGATTTTGTGGTGAAATTCCAGGGTTAACAAGTCATTACCACTAGTTAGTGAAATAAATATTACATAGGCTGGGGGATGCGGTTGAGTGATTGAGTACTTGACTTATGCACAAGATTCTGGGTTTGAAACCCAGTGCTGTAAGAATGCCATTTAAGTTAGAGAATGTGACCTGCCTCAGAAGATACAACCACCCTTCCTTACCTGTCTTTTACAAAGAAGCACTTTGTATTCAGTTAACTAAGTCTTCTGTCCAGCAAAGTTTGCTTTGTAACCTAAGGATAGAGTTCCTCTCTGTACTTTCAACACTTTTTTTCTTGACAGGGTCTTACTCTGTAGCTCAGGCTGGCCTCTAGCTTATGATAATCCTGCTTTAACCTTCTAAGTACTGGACTTACAGGAATGACCCACTATGCATAGTTTATTCTCCTTCTTGATTTCCATTTTTTTACCTGTAATTCCTACCAACAACTCCACACACTTACACAGGCACACTGTTTTCTTTCAGTTTTGCATTCAACTCATTCCCTTTACTACTGCTTACCTCAGCCTTTGTTGCTGGGCTTTCTGTATGACTGTGCTTTACTGGTTTCTTTTTTTTTTTTCAGCAATCACTCTGAATGTCAGACATGAACTGAAGAAATTTAATATGTTTTCCTATTTCTGTGTTTTCCCTCTTTTCTTTTTCTTTTCTTTCTTTTTCTCAGTTTCGAGTATTTACAGCTCCCTTCCATAAGGTAGGCTTTGCTGATTTCTGGCTGGCCGATCAGCTGAACAGCCTGTCAGTGATACTCATGGACCTGGAATATATGATCTGCTTCTACAGTTTTGAGCTCAAATGGGATGAGAGTAAGGGCCTGTTGCCAAATGATATACAAGGTAGGCTATGATTTTGTATTCACACTGCTGAATTGCCTGCATAAACCAAAAAATATTGGGAATGATAACTGCAGCAGTTAAGGTCATGGTGAAAACTCATCCAATAACATTACAAATTTAATTAAATGTGCTTGGCATTTTGTTAGCAATCTCCTCATCTGAAATAATTTGGCTTTTAAATTGTGTTATTTTAGCCATCTACTTGCCAAGAAATTTACAACTTATACTGAAGAAGTCTGCAGTTATTTCTCAACATTCCTCTATGTTGGTAGCTGTATCACAAATGCTAGAGTGCCAGCACTTTGTCCTCACAGAAATGCTCAGGATACCATTGTAGATACCAGTGATCTAAGTACTGATTGCTTAGAATCAGGTCAAATGCCTTGAGAAAGTCCTGGTAGATTGCTTTAGAAATCTTATTTGGAACCTTGATTTTCTTCTGGCTCTTTACCAACTCTTAGGTAATGCCAAGTTTGTATAGTTGGGAAGTTTGCATTCATAACAAAGATCTAATGTAGCATCTGCTTCCAAAAGATAATGAAAAACTGGGTGTGGCAGCCTACCAGGCACCTACAGTCCCAGCACTGAGAAGGCTGATGCTGTAGGATAGTAAGTCCCATTTCAGCCTCGGCTGCATAGTGAAACCCCATCTCAAAAGCAAAAACACAACAAAGCAGCAATAAGAAATTAATAATGAGTCCTTGACTAGAAGGGAGACCATAGAACATGTATTCTGGGTATATTTTATAGTAGCTTGGCACTTATAAAACTGTCCAGGTACCTGTTATTTTTGTAGGTTTTTCATATGTTTAATGTCATAGAACAAAGCAGCTTTTTCCTTTCTCTGGTTCACAGACTCTTTTTTCTATAGTTTTATTACAGTTGAAAAATAATCCTAGGATATTCAGAAGTCTAAAACTGCAGATTTTCCCAGTAGTCCCTCTGCAGTTTTTACCTCCTCTCCTTGCTTATCTGCCACTGGAAAGCTTGAACAAACTGTAGCTGCATAGGAGAAAGTGAACCCATCGGGATGGTTTGGGTTTTATGGGTGTGCTGATGGGCATTTGAACTGTGTGACTAACTGGTGTGATCAGTTCACTCTTTTGAATTGTGATTTTCTTCTTCTTTGAAATCTTCACAGAACCAGAATTTTGCCACAGATATACATACGGTGTGCGAGCCATTGTTCAGTGCATTCCTGCTTGGCTTCGCTTCATCCAGTGCCTGCGCCGGTACCGTGACACAAAAAGGGCCTTTCCTCATTTAGTAAATGCTGGCAAATACTCCACCACTTTCTTCACCGTGACCTTTGCAGCCCTTTACAGCACTCACAAAGGTATGCTGAGATTTTTAAATCTGAGTTGTTATTTCTTGAATCTGTTGCCCTGGACTTCACCATTTGTGCTGTTCGTTTCCATTGAAGCTCCAGCTTCTGGTTATCGTGGTTTATTCTTGGACAGAGTTTTAGTCTCATTTCATTGTATATTAGCAAATATCATTAACAAGAATCATAGTCAGATAGGAACAATTGTGATAATGTTTGAAATCAGGAATTATGCTCAGTGGCTTTAACCTATGGATGCCTTGGGTTTTCATTTAGTGATTTAGGATTTTTTTCTTCTTGTTCATTAATGAGGTTAGGAAATGGCTAGGTGAACAAGATTCCCCCTAGCAATCAAGTATATTTTTAATCGTTTTCCTACACCAACTAGTAAGGATTGTTTCCAGCCCATTTAACTGCAAATTGAGTTCTCTGATCCCTCTAGTTTCTCGTCTCCATGGAAACCTGCTATTACTTGCTACTGCTCTTCTGTTGGAAAGAGAAAAAAAGCTTTTAAGCTCTGAGCCACATGCAGACACTCTTGAATTTTTAACCTTTTCCCCAAGAACTGTCAATCAGTGATTTCGTTTCCTTTTGCTACACATTACAGTATCAGCCCATGCCTTAACACTACAATTTCTCATCTGTAGGTGGCAAAGACATGTGACTATTGGAAATCAGTGTAGTGCTTTTTAAATACTCAGGTAAATTGTTTTCAGAAACCTTTTTTGTGAGGCTGTATTTGGGAGTCTTGATTCAGTGGTACAAAACTGCTGTTGTTCTAACATGTATCTAATGGTCATGAAAGATGAAGGCATCGTTAACACTGTGAGACTGGTATCAGGGGAGCATATTACACCGAGCGTCCATCCACACTATGACATAGATTCTGTGCTTACAAGAGTATTGATAAATGTAGCCAATAATTTCGCCACCATGTGGCCATTCTTGTTAAGTGATAGGATTTAACTGAGTACCTCAGTGAAGGAAACACATCCCCATAGCTCCCATAACTTTTAATTCTTGCCAAGGAATGCCACTAGGCAGTACCAGAATGCACTGTGGTTTATAAGGTTATTCCTAGAGAATTTATAAATTTGACAACTTGATCTGATACAATATGCTTTCTAGCTCCTTTTCCTAAATTATCAGGAACACTTGCCTCCCATCTTAAGTAAAAATGAGAACTACTATTTTGGGGTAAATATTTTATACTAATAATATATTCATAAAGAAGCTGACAGTCTCCAGGGTTGTCGGTGCTATTAACACAAATACAACACTCACCTCAGGAAATGCAGTTTATTCTTGAGCCAAACATGAGTGGTGATAGCCAGGGAGCACAGATTCGGGTTGCCCTGAAAGACGTGTTCCACAGGAAGTTTACATGAGAGTTGACAGTTACAGAACCAAGAAAGTCGTAAGCCTAGGTATTTACTGAGTATATCAGTGATAAATAGGCAGGCTACCTCAAACCAAGGGAAATTGTGTAGGTCTGGGATATTGTCTGATAACATTTTAGCTTTTAGATTGGTTGGAGCTAGTTTAAAAAAAAAGTTTTAGGGCTATAGTGATAACTCTTTCGAGAAAATGCTTTCTGCACAAACATGAGGACCTGTGTTTGTAAAGTCTGGGCCTGGCAACAGGCACCTGTAATCCCAACTCTGGGAGATGGATACTGGTGGATCCCTGTGGCTCAAAAAGTTGGCCAAGTGGTTTAATCTATCATCAAGCTCCAGGTTAAATCAGAGACACTGTCTCAGAAAATAAGGTAGACTGTGACTGTGGAAGACACTGATACCAAACTCTCCACACACACAAAGAATACATTTTAAAGATTTTGATAGTCACAGGGATGTTTGGACATGGGAATGGACAATGAATGACTTTTAAAGGGACTGGAGACAGTCTAAGATAATCTGGTTCTGGTCTTCAACACTATCTACAGTCACAAAGTTCAGCCATTCAGCCTTGTAGAATCTTTTAACACAGGTATGGATTTTCTCTCCCCCCCCCCCCGCCGGGAACCTCAGTTTATACAAGGACCTATAATGAGACAAAAGGATGACAAGTTCAAAGCCTGCCTTAATTACACAGTGAGTTAGGTGAACCTAGCAACGTAGTTAGACCTTGTCTCAAAATAAGAAGTATAATGGACAAGGGATGTAGCTCACCTACCATGCATGAAGCCCTGTGCTTATTTAGTCCTCACCATGCCATAAACTAGATATATGTTCTAGCCCCAATACTACCAAACGTAGGGAAGGTGAACCAGCATAATTTATCTTTAAATGAAGCAGTCTGTAATAGATAATATATATATTTCCTACTGAACTATATTTTAATATAAAATAGTTTTAAAATGCTGTAATATGTATTTATAGTTGTTGACTTCTCTGCTACATGTATATGTAAACTGATATTAAATTATAACCTTTCACTATAAGATGCTAAGAAAATTTTTTCTACTTCTGTTTTATAATTATTGAGCTTTGTTGAGTTGTACACTAAGGAATGATTAAAATGGTAAATTTTATGGAGGTTTGAAACTACATGTTTTGTAAGGCTTCAAAATGAAGTACTATTTTGTGTAAACATGGTACCAGAAAGCTACACAGCACAAGTCTCTGACCCAGCCTGATAGGCCACAGATGAAAGATGATATCCAGATGACATGTACCTAAGAATGAACTTGAATTTCTGACCCTCCCACCTCCACCACTCAAGTGCTGGGATTCCAGATGCATGCCATCATACCTGGCTGTTTGTTTTTGTTTTGCAATACTAGGATTGTGCTCAGGGCCTTGTATGTGGCATGCCAGGCAAGTACTGTGTCACTGAGCTAGCCTCACCTTGCAATTAGAAGCGAGAAGCAATCCTGTTTCCTACTTCTGTTTGCTTCATTTGTCATGGCTGTTTTTGTTTCACACAAAGCTGTATCTTTTCTTATATCTATTTACTTCACAGATTTATTGTAAGAATTTCACATGAAATCACATTGTAGACAATATGCTATATAAACGGATAGGTAGGAAAATGAAAGAACAGCTCCCTTTGCTGACCAGCACTGATGTTGTGCACTTTCCTTTACAAAGATTCCTAAGGGAAACTCTTAGGACCTTGGGATGAGGGTTGCAGAGGGCCAGTGTCAGTCAGGAAGAGTTTGACCTTTTGTTGATACAGTAGCAGCTTACTCACTGAACACAGTTCATGTGCCCATGTCAGATTCTTAAAAGTTAAGAGAGGAAAAAGCACTCTTTTGTTTGTTTGTTTGTGTTTGTTTGTGTTTTTAATGTATAGCCCAGGCTGTCCTCGAACTTGTGATCCTCCTGGCTCTGCCTCCTTTAGCAAATCCTACCAGCGTGTGCCACCACAACCGGCGAAAAAGCACTCTTTAGAGGACACCATTATGTTGATCATATCCCTAAGTCTTTAAAAAATATTCTATAGTTGCTGTATGTTGGCTATAATCACTAAATTTTTTTACCAAAAAGTCTAGAAATTGGAATGACAAAATTTTGACATTTGAATTGTGATTAAGTTAAATTTCTCTTTTCTTTCTTTTTTTTTTTCTTTCTTTAAGACAGGCTCTCACAGTAAGCATGGTGGCTGCACACCTTTAATTCCAGTACTCAGGGGGCAGAAGCAGTTGGATCTCTGAATTTGAGGCTAGCCTGGTCTACAATGTGAATTTCAGGGCAGCCAGGGCTACACAGGAAAACCCTGTCTCAGAAAAAATAAAATAAAATAAAACTAAAAAGACAGGGTCTCACATAGCTCAGGCTGTCTTCAAATTTACTGTGTAGCATGGATGACTTTGAACTTCTGGTCCCCTTGCCTCCGTCTCTCTCTCTTGAGTGCTGGGATTACAGGAATGTGCAACAACACCCAGTTTTATGTGGTGATGGGGCATCAAATTGGGGGTTCATGCATGCTAGGCAAATGGTCTATCCACTGAGATATAAGTTCTTCTGTTTTCTTGGACAGTGTTCTAAGAAAACACAGACTTTAGAAATAATTACTGAATCAGAAGAATCAGTTCAAAGTGACTAATTATGTGCTTTCCTCTGGCGTGCATGTGCTGTTGCAAGAGCTACATTATGAGGGAAGAAGAGTAAAAGATGATGGCATAACCTTGTTCTGAGTCTTTTCAGAGAACTAGCCTGCCAGGGTTACCATAGTAACAGCATTATAGTAAGTGCACTTTCAGAATTGTTACAGAGGTTGTTTCTTATGGTATGCTGCATGATTTGTAAAAATGGAGGTGTAAGCATTAACCCTCCTCCTAGAATCTTTTTAGAAGGTGAGAGTTTAGGCATCCCATTTAGGAAGATTAATCATAATAATATTTCAGTTAGGCCTCTTTTGTTGTAAAAAAAAAGAAGCACATTTGAAATAATTCAGGACATTTTATTTTCTGTCACTGATTTTTAGAGTTCAGCTAGCAGCCAGTCTCTGTGTTTAAGATTCATATGTCATTACATGACCACATTATTTTTTTTGTTTTGTTTTGTTTTTACGAGACAAGGTTTCTCTGAGTTGTTTTGGAGGCTGTGGGTCCAGCCCAGCCTCGAACTCACAGAGATCCGCCTGCCTCTGCCTCCCGAGTGCTGGGATTAAAGGTGTGCGCCACCACCGCCCGGCTATGACCACATTTGAAACAACTCCTACAAGTGTTCTCTTGGACTTGAGATTGGAGGAAATGGGGACGTGCTTTAAGTGGGTTTTGTTTTCCTTGAGGTTTCTGGGCTTTGCAAGGAAGTATAATAGCAGAAAGGCCATGATGTTATTGCTTCTAACAAATTGTACTTCTTCATATCACATTGCATTTGTAGCTTCTAAAATTCTGTAACCCTCATAAGTTCTTAGTGGAATTAGAACCTTACTAGTCATATAAATATATAGAGGGGATACTTACACTTCACATTTCCTGAGACTTTTGTGGGCAGGGTAGGATTCGCTATAAAAAATTTTTGAAAGAGATTGTCGCTCAAGTTAATTTACATTCATGTTAC